GAGAGAGAGAGAGAAAGAGAAAACTCGAAAATTATTAGTTTTTACTAAAGGAGTTACTTTTTGATTAAAAAATTAAAATTCGAATATCTTTTCGCGAGCGACAATGAATTTAAAATTAGTGATATTACTTTCTTTTATGATCGTCGCAAACATTCGTGTTGCTCGTCATCAGCTAAATTATGGGAACCAATGTCAGACAATTTTTATCGAGGATCTGATAAATCATTGTATGAAATGTTATTTTAAGATAACATTCCTGTTCGTTGTCTCGAAGGCTTCCGCAATTTGCGAATTTTGCAATTACGTACTTAACCTGCAGACTGCAAAAGATTTTTAAGATCATTATATAAGTACATATAAAATTCTTTATACACGTAATGATTTCTATTTTATTTTTATAAAATTTTAATTATGATTTTAAATTCTATCTGTGTGGAATAACTTATTAAACCGTATAAAAGTATTTACTTGTGTAAATAATTACGAAACAAGAAGTAGTTGGTTAGGAAACACTGAAGTAAAAAATTTTTGGTTACCGTTCGATCTATCGATTAGTTTGAAAAATTGTCGCGGATGGCGCATGTGACGTGTCGTGAAACGCATTCGCGGAACTAGGAAACGAAAAAGTGGAACATCACGCCGATCGAAGATATTTTGAGAACCTGGATAGAAGTTTAGGAGAGGGGGAGGAAGAGGAGAAGGAGGATTCGTGAGGAGCAGTAGAAACGCTAAGATGGAAGCCGAGGTGTCCTCTCGAGTGTTTTCGCAAGACTGGAGTCGAACCCTTGGAAAAACAGACGCCAAATTGAATCCCTCGTCTATAAGAACGTGATGTCTCTCCCTTATCTATATAACTCTACTACTCAAGAGCCTTTTCCTCCGGGGTTTCTGCAGTTTCTTCGTCAACGGATTACACATCTATCTGTATTTCTCGAGTAAGAAGTGTCGTCGCGTCTTTGAGGACGAACCTCAATGAAATACATACAACTTCCATTCCTTACGTAGTCGAGAGCATTGCAACGATAGGACTAATAAAATTTTCAGTTTCAAGATTTGAGTAAATGCATGTACTTCTAATTATTTTAAAAATCCTTTCTTATTTCGAAAAAAAAAGTACTCGTTCGTGATAAATCTTGATCAGATCAAATCAGATATCAAGATATCGATTCTGATACAAATATGAATATTTCAAAGTAGATTGAAAAAAATATGACGTGTTCGAATAATTTAATATCTAAAAGATACCGAAAGACACGGAGGACAATTAGGATAATGATTAATATATTTGAAACGATCGTTACCACTAGTTGCGAATCTCCGATGACTAGTACAAAATTTTTCACTCTGTTCTCCGTAAACGTACACTGTCAAATTCCATGAGGTAAGAACGCGAATCGATCAGGATGAAAGCACCACGTGGTCGTCGGTATTTTTCACTTCTAAATTTTTCGTAATTCTGCGACATCCTTCCTGCGACTCGAACAGGAACAGCGCTCAAAATTCTTAAAAGTTTTTAAAAGAGAAAAAAAGAACTCCACGATAAGTTTCCAATCTACTGCCAAATTCGTTAATTTGACAGTACCGGGGAAAAGTATCCGACGGCCGTGAAGTCGCGCGCGGAAAAATTTCGCGTGTGTTCTCACACCACACAGGGCGATGCTCATTGTCTCGCTTTTGTTGCGTCGGCCCTGCGCGAGCTACGAGGGCGTGACTAGGTTAGGACCGTCGTTCGATCCTTGGCAACGTAGCCGCAGAGGCGTCCACGCTTTTCCCTTTAATACCGACCTTCCGATTGGTCGGCGCCCGTAGGTGGAGTCACATGATCGCGATCCACCAATCACGTGGCTCGTTGGATAATAGGCGGCAGGCCGTGACAGTGTTCTCGTGATTTTTCGAAGCGAAGCGCCACGCACGGGTCGCGCAGCCGTGCTGGCCGATACTGAACACTTCGCTTGCTCGCGAGGCCGAGGCCCCAGTGTGTTTTTACTCGGGGTTGAGTAAACTCCGACCTGTTGTGTATCATAATACGCGTGCACGCGGGTTTACGGGTTAGCCTCGCATCGACCACTGGATGCACCCTTGTCTCGCACCACGCCGCGCCTGTCTTCCCCGATCGACGAGACTAACTTGCACAGAGTAGAGAGATATTCCGAAGCGTCAACAAAACACCATTTAAACGGGTAACGAGTAAACGAACCACCGTCTCCGCGTCTCCCGCCGACGGAATTGATAATTTACCAACGATCTATCGAATTGATTGGTTACGATGCCGTTCGATCGTATCGATTATTAAGTGAGTGACTACCATTCGCATCGATCGATCGATCGATCGATATCGAGAAATTTTTGCAATCCCATCTAGTGAATATTCCCTATAATCGCGGATTCTGACTCGATACTCGTCTGTGACAAAGTGTGTAATTAAATTATTTCGAAGTGATTGATCGAAATTAGTGAGTGAAACTTGATGATCGAAAATTTATTTTAGAAAAATAAAAAATGTTAAAAAATCTTAAAAAATGTCAATAACAACGTCGAAACTGTTCTGAAAATAATATTTATACATTGTTAACAGTGATCCGGAAAATTTTATACAAATTCACGTAACAGGTGGCGCGATCGATCGGAATCTAGGTGAATCTAGGTGAAATTTAAAAAATGCATACGCTATTTAGCGAGCAAAATGCGTATTACAGGCATGCAACGGCTGTTCCCGTTGGGATGGGAACCCCATCGTATCCGGGAGTGGGCGCAGCGCCTGGATATTACGAACAATATCGTTACGGTGGGTACGCGACGGCGGCAGGTTATCCAGTCTCGGGTATAACCCAGCAACATATTCACCATCCCGGTAAGGACATGGTAAAACCCCCGTACTCGTATATAGCTCTGATCGCAATGGCGATACAAAACGCGCCCGACAAGAAGATCACCCTGAACGGTATCTATCAGTTTATCATGGAACGTTTCCCTTATTACCGCGAGAACAAGCAAGGATGGCAAAATTCCATCAGGCACAACCTCAGTTTGAACGAGTGTTTCGTCAAGGTGCCGAGGGACGACAAGAAACCCGGAAAGGGAAGCTATTGGTCCCTGGACCCGGACAGCTACAACATGTTCGATAACGGTTCTTATCTCAGACGTCGTAGGCGTTTCAAGAAGAAGGACGCTTTGAAGGAAAAGGAGGAGGCGTTGAAGAGGCAAGGTCTCGTGCCCGAGAAGCAACGTAATCAAGAGGAAACGAAGCCTAGCAACATAGTAATACCGCCGCCGTCGGACACGTCGGGTGGCAAGAAGTTGGGCACCCTGGAGACGACTTTGTGCAAGCCGAAGAGGGAGCCTGTGAACGATACGGGGAGCCATTGTATGGCCGTGCAGGCGAAGTACGGCCTTCACAGCCCGATTCAAGACACGNGCAGTGACGACGACGACGGCGGCCGTCGCAGTGGGCGGGCAAAGCGTTATCCAAACGGCTCTCGGTCACCAAGTGCATCAAGCTCACCAAGTCCACCAGGATGCTGGTATCCAGGACGTGTCCATGGGTTTGGATCCGACCAGTTTCAGTGTCGACGCTTTAATGACGACGCGGGAGAACAGCGCCGCCCTAATGACCAGAGAGAATCAGCATCACACGCATCATCCCCACGGTCTTCAACATCCTCACCCTCACTCGCACTCGATCATGACGAGCAGAGAGTCGATGGGCGCGGGGGTGGTATCCAGAGATCACTTGCCGTCCGTTTGTACGACGACGACCACGACGACGGCCGCTGTCGCGGCAATGATGGCGACCACCGGATACGGCCACACCAGCTCCGTGTCCAGGAGCAACGGCTCGCCTCCCGGAACCATGTACGCGCCTTATTGCACGCCCACAGCTGGTTACATAATGGATCACGCGGAATATAATTCGAGAAATCACAACAATACGGCGGGACACTCGCAGTGGTATCAGGAGGCAGCCAGCCCTGACGCCGCCGCCATTTATCAGGATACCCAATCGCCAAGCTGTCAACTTTACAGGTAAGGACAGAAATGACAATGATACCATTATTTACGTTACGTTGTCATTTCCTTTCAACCGAATCTTTTGCATAATTGTAAATAATGATCGAATACACGAGAGAATATGAGAATGGAAAGGAAGTGGAACGACGCCTCTTTTTTTTCCTCTATAATCGGTTCCAATTTGAAATCGTCGTATCGACTTGTTATTAGGAATTTACATTCGTGAAAAATATCGACACGTTCCAGATCCAGCCCACCAACTCCGCTCTCGTCGAGTGCAGCTCCGTCTCCACCCTTGTACCACCGATATTATCAAGACTGTAACACCGTCAACACCAGCGGCAATTTACCCATCACGTTACATAAATACTGAGAATACCGAAATTCAAGGCCTCATCACCGAGGCCTTGAAGAACATCACACCGATCACTACGACCCGAGCTTGGTTTACGTGAAGCAAGAGTGGATCCCCTGCACGGAAGACCTCGCCAAAGAATGGAATTAGATAAGTCTAAAAATCCATGATAAAACGGGGCGAAAGTAAATTCGAATAAACTCGATTCGTAAAAAAAAAAAAAAAAAAAACTACGAACTACACGATACGTAATTGTAAATATTTTATCTTTCACGTAACAAGAATGATCGTGAATGTTACAAGTTGTAGCTCGTTGTAGATGCGGAAATGAATATTAACGATAATAATAGAAGGAAAAATTATTAGAGATTCTCGTCGAGGTAAATATAATATTTATCTCGAATTGTTCGAATAATTCAACGTAAGAGCGTTCAATTTCTACTTCGATTTTAGTGTTAGCCGAGTGAAAATAGTTTGACGCATTTTATACTTTATCGAATCTTATCCCGATACATTCTATATCGATCGAGATATATCGAAGTAAGAAACGAAAGGTATCGGCAATGTGCTTTGTCGCATGCCGATTCGAGTTACCGACTGATACTTGACATTTCAGAGGAAGATTATCGCGATCAGTGGACACATTTTATGTTTTTTTAAACGTAAAAAACCAAATACACGTGTACTACTTTAGCCTTAGAAGGAGTTCACGGATCGACATAACCTCGAACTGGTCGCTCCAGACCGCGATAATTTTTTTTTTCTGTCATTTCTTTCTACGACCCGCGAACGAACGAACGAACATCTTTTTTTTTAATCCATAAACTTTTCTCAACCTCTTTCCTTCCGTTTCGCGTCATGAAAGATTTAATAACAACGAGAAGGAATTCTATAAATAAATCGGTGATATTGGAAAACATTAGATCGATCGAGACGCGTTGATGCATTCGGTTCTAGGTTTGTGATCAATTTTATCGCATACAGAGTCATTCATTAATGAATCGGAAGCTTGTATGATGCGAGAAACGTATCCTAGAAACAGCTGTGAATATCAATGATGATGGTCGTCACCTGAGCAAACAAAGGCAGGTCTCTTTCCTGATCTACGGTAATTTTGACCGGTTCGAAATTCCTTTTTTCGCTATGATCGTATTTGCATGGAGATACGCGCGATCCTACATACAGTGCAACTGTGCAAACTTGCAACGAATTGATCAGACGGGAAAAAAAATATTTTGGGAATGCTTGTCCGATTCGGTACGAAGTCGAATCACACTGGATGCTGATACATATGAAAACGGATTTCACAAAATAAAAAATATCACACAAAATGACGTTCAATGCTACAATATTGATATGATTTTCAGTAATTTTCTTTTATAACGTTTAAAATCAAATTCATTATTTGCTATTCATTATTTACAGTACATTTGAACGATTCAAGTCAGATTAATTCGTATTTTGAAAAATTTTCAACTTTAATTAAATATTAGCGTTTAAAAATCAAATAATTAGCTTCGATGAAGTGTAATCATCAGTTTGATTTCTACATATATCATTTATCAATCTTTTTTAACTCTTAATCTCGGATGCCAATATTGGATTGAGAGTTGATTATGTATTATTACAGTTGATATAAATAATTATTGTACTAATTATAGTAATAATTATTTACGAAATTTAATTAAGAATTTAAACGTAAAGAAAATCACATCGATAATTCGTAGAAATCGCAATGAACATTTTTGCGAAAAAAAGGTTAGTACAATTAGTGGAAGCGACATTGGTCAAGTATATCAATCAAGTAATCAAAATGTTTTGAAAATCAAAAATAATAATTCGAGATATATGGAGAGATATAAAAGTTGTTTTTTTTTTTGTGAAACTGTATATACATTATTTAGAAATATATATATATATATATATAATTTGCATTATGCATTCACAAGCTTTAAAATGTATTGATTAATATTTCAGTTTAAAATTTTAATTTATGTTACTGTTTCTACTAATTGTACATAATTGAAATGATAAAACTTTCCTAATTAAATGAGCGAAACGAGAAGACGGTGATAAAATTTGTTTGTAAAAAGTGATATATGATCGTTTTCCTTGTGCGTGAAGGGTTGCGTGTCTCGATTTTTGTGCATTTATTCGCGTAACGTCATTCCTTGTGTAACCGATGCGCGCGATTCGGCTGCACGAGATTGGTCGTTCAACGAAAGTTGAAATATAATATATATATATATATATTTATTGCAAAAACGGATAATGTGAATAATTAACGATTAAAACGGAATCGTATCGTAGATAGATCTCTGCGTGTATATTATTAAAAAAGAGTATATATATATATATATATATAGATATAATAGATTGTATAGATAAAACTATATATGTATAAATAGACAGATCTATATATACAGAAACATATTGATATTACGATTAGTAATAATAATCGCAAAGTTATTAACGTAGAATGAGTCGATGCGAATACGAAACCTTACGAAATAAACGTAATGAATCGAAACGAGAACACAGTGTTGTTTCTTCGAGATATCTTTGCATGAATTTTCGATTTATCCAATTCTTTCTTTTTTTTTTTTTTTTTTCCCCTCTCCATTCCACAAATTCGACACAACCGACACTTGTAAAACTATTATTCGGTTCAACATTTTAAATGTTTATTGATATTACGGGAAGAGAAGAGCTTCGAAAAAAAATATTTCGTTACAATTTTCTTTCTTTTTTTACTTTGTTCTCGTTCTTTTTTTTTTTTTTTTTCAACAACAAAACCGGCTACTTACAAAAGTATACTCGTATAGGTACGAACACAAACGGTATAAACACCTGCGAAAACAACACGACCGTTTAATTACCCGCGGCATCGATCAAAATTAATTCCGTTATCGCGTGGAAAAAATTTCCTCTCTTGAAAAAAATACATTTTATTCCGCCCGTAATGGCGC